CAACCTTTTATAAAGAAATCGGATCATTTTCAATCAATGAAAAATAACAAACTAAAGGAAAAAATTCTTTTTATTTTTACCTTTAAATCAGGTTTAGTTCCTAAATTCTTTTTTGCATTATTAAGAATCGTTAAAAATGATTCATAAACAGCATCTTCAACTAATTTATCTGCATAATAATTAAAATCATCATGTAAACATTTTAATGTTCGTTCATTATATGTTAATTTTGACATGATATAAGCAAGATCACCCCATAAACGAGGATTACCACTTAAAGAAACAAAATTATTAAAAAATAAAATAAAATGAAAATAAATAATTTACTTAGCCATTCGAAATCTTTGCAATAATATTTTTAATAAACTTTCTGTTTGTTCTTCTTTACTAACATATTTCAATAAAAATTCGATAATAGATTTAAAATCTTCTTCATTTAATTGACGTTGCTTATCTAATTTACCGTCAACTAAATTTGAAAATATATCTGGTAAAATATTAAATAATGCTTGACCATCTTGTCGTTTAGCTAATTCACTAAAAAATGATGTAGCTAATGTTGCTATTTGAGGATGTTTATCAATAATACGAAATGCTATTTCACTTATTTGACCTTTTGGCTAAATAAACAAATTTAGATAATCATATGTTTTTGTTTTAATTTACATATATATACATATATATGAAACTAACTTTAACCATTTCTTTGAGAATTAAATTTGAAATTGTTTTTAATGCTGCTAAACGTACATTATCTGATCGATCACGTAAACAACCATAAACATCATCTGAATAAGCAGCAAATGCTAATGGATATCTTAAAGAAAATTTCTTTTGTTTTAGAAATAAATTTTTTTTTTGCCAAAAGAAATTTACTTTAAATAAAAATCGTTCATTAAAACCATAATAGAAACACGAACACTTTCGAATGTTGAATTTTTTAATAAATCAAATAACATTTTTGCATGTGTTTCGCATAATTCAAGTGATAATAACATAAATTTACATAAACATGTTGTTGCACTTAATTGTAATGTTTCTTCATGATATTCTTTTGGATTAAGAAGAATCTTAAAAAGAAAAAGAAAGAAAAATTTTGAATTTTATATAAAGGAAAAGAAAAATCTGAATAATATCATTGTTGATTGATTTCCATTAGACTATCCTACTAACCCTCAATCTAACCTATCACTCTCACCCTTTTCCTCAACTTTTTATCTCGCCCTTGATGGTTCCATCTAACCTTGTTTCTCCCTTTTTTTTTAATGTGTTTAAAAATGACTTATTTTATTTTGACATTAGGGAAATTTTTTCGTTTTAGTAGCAGATTCTGCACCTCTTTTTTTTTAAATCTTTTAAGCAATTCTCACAACATTTTAAAGTTCAATACATT